TCTAGAGCTTAACAGAACCAGATTCCACTACTGGCTGCATCGTTGATAGACTGGAAATGTTGGAAAATGCACTTACCCTTTCTGAGCTTTAATTTTCTCCACTGTCAAATGTAACTGGGTAGGAGTGACTTCAGACTTCACTTGACGCCGGTGCCAGGCGAACATGGCGGCGGCCACTGGACCGTTGTTTTGGCTGAGGAAGGAAACCCTGAAGGTGCCTGCCACTGGCGCTCTTTGCCTTGAACCGGCAGCGCCGCTGTGCGCGGCTGCGGAAGAACCCTGCTGTGCAGGCCGCCTCAGTGGTGGTGCGGCCGGGAGGCACCTACGCTGGGGTCCTCTTTCGCCAGGAGTCCTTCTTTCACTGGGTGTTCGGTGTCACCGAGCCAGGCTGCTACGGCGTCATCGACGCTGACACTGGGAAGTCGGCCCTGTTTGTGCCCAGGCTTCCTGCCAACCATGCCACCTGGATGGGAAAGATCCATTCCAACGAGCACTTCAAGGAGAAGTATGCTGTGGACGACGTCCAGGACGCAGATGAGATTGCCAGTGTCCTGACGTCACAGAAGCCCTCTGTCCTCCTCACTTTGCATGGCGTCAACACGGACAGCAGCAGCGTCTGCAGGGAGGCCTCCTTCGAGGGCATCAGCAAGTTCAAAGTCAGCAACACCATTCTTCACCCAGAGATCGTTGAGTGCCAAGTGTTTAAGACGGACATGGAGCTGGAGGTTCTGCTCTACACCAATAAAATCTCCAGTGAGGCCCACCGTGAGGTAATAATGAAGGCTGTAAAAGTGGGAATGAAAGAATATGATTTGGAAAGGAAATTTAAATATCCAGAATAATAGAAAGTATAGTGAACCCGAAGTCCCCATCAGGTTTTTGTGTTAGTTTTGTTTGCTAGAGCATTTTAAAGCCAAACTCCAGATATCATGTCATGGCACCTGTAAATACTCCAGTAGGTATCTCAGTTGATGAGAACTTTTTTTTTATTTTTCCATAACCACCATGCCAATATCACATCCATTATCACAAATGAACTGTAACTCCTTAATGTCATGGATATCTAGTTCATATTGATCCTAAACTCTTTTTAGCATTGGTTTGTTCAAGTCGGGATCCACACAGAGTCCATACATTGCACTTGGCTGCTGTTGGAAGCAGGATATCGTGAAGCTGAGCTCTGGGGAGATCTCACCCCTGTCTACAAACTGTTCGACCTTCCCTCCACCCCTATCCCAAGACCCTAGGTTGGCCTTGCTGCCACCTCCTGTGTGGACCAGGGTGGCTCTTGGAGAGATGAGCTCGAAGCCAGAGGCCACAGCCCAGTGCTCCAGGAAGCTGTCAGCCAGGAGCAGCCACCTGCAGGAGTACGCCTGAAAGCTGAGTGGCATCCGGTCAGCGTGTATGCCTGCTGTGCTCATGCTGTGCACCTGCCGTGCGCGCCCACCTGCGGCTCTGGCCACAGGACATATACAGGGGAAACAGTGATGGCCGCGGAAGCCATCTGATCTGTGGGCCCCTGAGAGCTTAGAGCAGGGGGGTAGGGATGAGGACTGAGATAGCAAAAACGAGAGATGGAGTCTGTTCCTGTGGGGACCGAGTGGGGAGAGAGGGGTCACGCCCTCTGAAGATGGTGGGAAGATGGGTCTCTGGGGAAAGTGTCACATCGTAACGTGTCCCTGGCCAGATTTGAGGAGGGCGCCCCCGATTGCCGGTGCCCAGGCTGAACGAAGCCCCTGGGACATCTGCAGCCAGAGAGACGTACTAACACTTCTGCCTCCTCGAGCTCCCTCTCCAGGGCAGGATCACTCTGTGATGCAGTTTTGTTGTGGTCCTTGCCCTGGAGAGCCTGGAGGCGCCTTCTTGGGGACCACGTCTCATTTATCTGCGCGCTGTCTGACCCACCGTGGGTGTCAGGAAACGTGTGAGTGGATGCGATAGGTGGATGGGAAAAAAGAAGAAAAGGTTTTAAGCTATTTTTCTGCCATCTTTTGTGCCACTGGGGACTTGAGAATTCTTTCTTAACTAGTCGGGGAATAAAAATCTCCTCTAAAACTAGGAAAAAAAAAAAAAAAAAGCGACTTCTGGTGACTTCTGATAATCTGGCAAGCTTCCTAATGTGGAAAGGCTGTCCCTCCATATGATAAACATAGAAACACTAGAGAAAATACAACAAAAAGAAAAAATTAAATATGTAACCAAACTCATGAATAATAAAAGCAGCCAGGCACAGTGGCTCACATCTGTAATCCTAGCACTTTGGGAGGCTGAGGCAGGCAGATGGCTTGAACCTATGAGTTTGAGACCAGCCTGCTCAACATGGTCAGACCCCATCTTTACAAAAAATATTAAAAAAAAAAAAAATAGCCAGGTATGGTGGTGTGTGTGTGTGTGTAGTCCCAACTACTTGTGAGGCAGAGGTGGGAGGATCACCTGAGCCTGGGGAGGTCAAGGCTGCAGTGAGCCATGATCACACCACTGCACTCCAGCCTGAGCAACAGAGTGAGACCTTGTCTCAAAAAATAACAGTAATAACAATAGTAAAAGAAAATTCTCGGCCGGGCGCGGTGGCTCAAGCCTGTAATCCCAGCACTTTGGGAGGCCGAGATGGGCGGATCACGAGGTCAGGAGATCGAGACCATCCTGGCTAACACGGTGAAATCCCGTCTCTACTAAAAAATACAAAAAACTAGCCGGGCGAGGTGGCGGGCGCCTGTAGTCCCAGCTACTCGGGAGGCTGAGGCAGGAGAATGGAGTGAACCCAGGAGGCGGAGCTTGCAGTGAGCTGAGATCAGGCTACTGCACTCCAGCCTGAGGGACAGAGCCAGACTCTAGCTCAAAAAAAAAAAAAGAAAAAGAAAAAGAAAATTCTCAGGTCCCTGGAATAGAGCAGGAAATCAAAGTCAGGGTAGGGAACAGCAGACAAAGCCTAAGGACTCCCACAAGGATTAGAAACTGGCAAAAACCGTAGGGACAGGAGGCGTTCCTATACTTCAGGTTCCTACAAGACAAGGTGCTGAACTTGAATCCCTACTAAAAGCTAGTGATGACAAATGCCATCAGACCATAAAATTGGACTCGAAATACTCCTCTGTTGGCCTGGATACACAGTAAGAAAGCTACCCATCAGGTGTCATGGCTAAAAGTTTAGACTCATAAGAAATCATTGGCCTTTAATGGACACACTCCAACTGGTGGCACACTTGAAGCCAAGAAATTATCACAAAAAAAAGATCCAGAATTGGTAAAAATCCACTGAGATTTAGAAGAAGCAAACTCAAATCATCCTATAAAGAAGAAGATATGTCTGAAGTCATGGAGACTCAACTTTCGCTAAGAGTGAGTTTACTACAGAAAATAATTTTGAACCACATGAGTTAATAAGCCACATAAAAGAAAATCAGAAGATGCAACAAATAGTAGGAATTTGCAATAGAAAATGGCAAATAAATCAGTATAAAAATGTTAAATAAATGTTTTTATATTTAAAGAGAGAAGCAGCATAAACACAATGCATTATTAAAATATTTTAAATTATTGTTTTAATTTTTTTAAGAATTAAAAACTTTTTTTAACCAAATAGAAATCTTGATAATGAACACATAGTCACTGAAATAAGTGCACACAAACCTTCATATTTAATGGTTGGGCCAAAAACAGATTATTCATAGCTGAGGAAATAATTAATGATTTAGAAAATGGAGCTGATGAAGATGTTAGAATGCATTATATGTGGCAATAAAATGGAAAATACAAAAGTTAAGGCCTGCATGGTGGTTCATGCCTGTAATCCCATCACTTTGGGAGGCCAAGGCAGGAGGATTGCTTGAGTTCAGGAGGTTGAGACCAGCCTGAGCAACATAACAAGATCCCATCTCTACAACAAAATTTTAAAAATTAGCCGGGCATGATGGCACATGCCTATAGTCCCCGCTACTCAGGAGACTGAGGTGGGAGGATCTCTTGACCCTGGGATACCAAGGCTGCAGTGAGTTGTGATCATGCCACTACACTCCAACCTGGATGATGGAGCAAGACCTTGCCTAAGAAAGAAGAAAGAAAGAAAGAAAGAAAGAAAGAAAGAAAGAAAGAAAGAAAGAAAGAAAGAAAGAAAGAAAACAGAAAAAAGAGTTAAGAGAACTGAAGTAGAGAGAGAGAGAGACAGGCCCAAATGGGTCTAAAAGAAATTGTAAGAGAACACGGAAAGTGAGGGGAAAAGCAATATTGAAATAGAAATTGAATAATAACTTTTTCAGAACTTAAGAATGACTTAAATTCTCACATTAAAAGATTATTCCTAGCACTGAAAAGAACAACAAAATTCTCCTACATATACTATAGGGAAGTAACAAAATATGAAATGCAAAGAGAAAATATCCATATCACCTAGAGAAAGGATATTACTCAAAAAGAGTGATCATTACATCAAAAAGTCTCCCCATTCGTTATCATAGATACCAGAAAACAATGGAACAATTTCTGCAAAGAGTTAAGGAAAAATATTTGGCCATCTATATTTGTACACTCAACTAAATTCTCATGAAAAAAAAGAGGGCAAAGTAAATATATCTTCAGGCAAAAAAAAAAAAAAATACAAAACTGAGTTTCTAAGTCCTCACTTAAACTGCTTCTAAAGAATATAGTTCAGCTAAAAGAACCCAAAACCTAGATGTAAAGAGGTAGATTAAAGAAGCAAGGAAAAGAAAAAAATTGGCAAACATAAGTAAAGTTAAGTATTGGTATTTAAAAAATAATATTGACCAATGTTGGTGGAGGTGATGAAAAACAGTTCAAACTAAGGAACCAAAACTTGGAAATAAAGATGGAATGAAGCTAAGAATCTTTTACTGTTTAAAAAGAGATTAAAGACATTGATTTATTTTAGACTTTTCAATGTATATATGTTAAAGTGTAAAGGCAACTACTAAAAGAATAGAAATAGAATGTAAAATTTCTACAGAGAAGCAAAAAACGAAATAAGTAAAATGCGATTAATCATATAGATGGAAGAAACGGAGGAAGAAAAAAGGGAAGGGGAGAAGGCAAAGAAATAGAAAACACAAGGTAAAATGATTTTTTAAAGCAGCACAAATATACCTCAATAAATGTTAATAAACATAACTTTCCTCTGAAAAGACAAACTATTAGATTGTACTGCTTTCTATCCCAATAGATGCTGTTTACAAAGGACATGCCTGAAAGTAAGGACACAGAAAGATTTAAAATGAAGGGATTAAAGCATTGTATATCACATAAATATTATTCCAAAGGTTTTCTTCATGGCATTAACAGGCTAGTTCTAAAATTCACATAGAAGAATAAGGGAACAAGAAGAAACATGAATATTGTGAAGATAAACAAGAAGAAGGATTTGCCTGACTAAGTATCAAGCCTTATTTTAAATCACAATAGTTAAAACACTGTCATATTGGCATGGCAATAGACAAATGAACCAATATCCAAACTACACACATATGGAGATTTGGCAGTGTTACTAATCAGTGGGAAAAGGAAAGACTAGTCAGTCAATGGTGTGGGACACTTGGCTATCCATTTGGAAGTTAATAAAAGTGGGTACATCCTTGTATCAAGCCATATGCAAAAAAAAATGAATTCCATATGAATTAAAAACATTAATCTGAAAAGCAAACTTTCTAAACATTTAGAAAAGATTCTAAATTAGGGGAAAATATCTTCATGACATTGGGAGAGGAAGACATAAAAAATCAAAACCCACAAAGAAAAAGTTTTTGAACAGAATATGCCGAAAAATATTAAAATAAAGAAAAGGTTTGATATATTTGACTAATGACAAAAAGAAAATGTTAGAATGACAAAATAA